GCCGGCTGAGGGCAGCGGCGGTGGCCCAACGGCTCCAACGGTCGCTAACGGTTCCGGCAGAGGGCGCTGCGTCACCGCGGGGCTGCGGCCGCCCGGGCAGCCCGCGGCGCGAGGGGAGACCCCGCGCGGGCACCGCGCGCGGCGGCGGATTTCGGAGCCACCGAAAGGGAGTTTTCTTTATCTGCCCCGGAGATGGACTTTTTGTAGGTTAGCTGTGAGGGAAGGCGGGCTCACAGAGCTGCCGCTTAGTTCTCGATCAGGTCCTAAACGGCTGAACTAAGTATAAATAAAATTGCGTACGAGAACACAAGTGTTCTGTAGAGAAAAGGGTAGCTGCTCTGAAGCAACGGGAAAACTGAGATACCTGAAGTAAAGYTTATGCGTGGACGTAGTCCAGCAGTTAAAATGAACCTTGTGGTGGAGTCGGTCGTTCAGATTATTAAGTTTTGAACTTGAAAACATAAGTCAGGAGGCTCTTTGCACAGATCTCATCTCCCAGTTAACAGAGAAGAGTGCTTAAATCAATCCAGGCCTGTGGGAGAGATCCCAGTACTTGAATCCCAGCGGGAAAAAAAATGTCCCTGGCATCACACATAATTAATTTTTAAAAATAATATAAATAAGACCCAYTGCAAGCAGCATAATGTCACTGCCACCCTCAATACAATGTTGAGGAAAAAAAATAGCAGTCTGGGTGTGAGCAGATCAGTTACACAGACTCCTCTAGGAAGCAGCGTGACTAAGAAGGCAGGGATCGGATCAAAGACGCTGGGCTCAGAACCGCAGCTCAAAGCCAGCAGACGTATCGCTGCTGGAACAGGCTCGGGAAGACACTGGAAGGGCACATTTGTGTTCGCTTTTAATTGTATGTCCTCTTAAGATTGTGACGGAAGATAAAGAGGAGACAACACAATTGCAGCTGTCAGTATTTGGATTTAGAGCGTTCCCGATTTACGCTGGGCCGRGTGTGCGCTCAGATTTCTGATTGCTACAGTGGAGAAAAACGTGAACACTAAAAGGAAATTTCTAGACATTAAGGATGTTTAGGGAAGGCTCCTCATGGAAAGGTTATGGCACCAGATGTAGACCGGGAGCCTTTCTGGGATGAATCACTCTGYGCTCTGTCCTCAACCGTGCCCTGCAAGAGCAGATACTGACAGTTTTATCTGAGGGAACAGTATTTTGAGGAAGAGGTAATTTGTGTGGCTTAGCAAATAAAAACAGCGGGTAATAAAGTTGTTTGAAGCACAAACTCTTCTTACGCAAGCAGTTTTCCAGTCCAGTATGCACATACATGCATAAAAAGTGTGTATGTGAGAAGAAAGACATTATGAGTAATGACTTTAAGGACCTTGTGGCTTCCTGACATGCCAAAACAGTAAAAAACTCCTGTCTAAAGCTGAACTACCTATAGTTACTGACTTCTGTTATAGATACTTCTTTCTGTGAGTAGAAATCAGCATTAYAGGAAAGTCACCCATCTAAATATCATGCTAATACACCAAATATAGTATAGTTGCTCCTGATCTTGAGGGTTAATTTGAGATCAAAAGTACTTATTTCTCCTTGTCTGCTGTCACTGCCAGTAGACAGGGACATCTCCTTCAGACAGCATGTGACCAAAGGAAGACATACCAAGCTCTATGAATTTATACCATGCTATTTTTGAACCAGAACACCAGCCCCAAACCACCACTGGCAGTGACAGGGTCCCTGAACAACCCCAAACTTGGCAATTGGATAAGGTTTTAAGATAGAGATGTGAAATACTAAGTAGATACTCACAAAACTCCAGGAAGCATAGCTTGAGTGCAACAAGGTCATGCTGCTTTTCAAATGTTCCCAGGTATCCAGTATCAGTGGGAAAGCTTACAAGAAAATCACACAGGGGAAAGGATTTTACATCAAGAGCCACACTTTATCACTGACAAAAAGATTAGATCCTCCAAGATCACGCTTGTCAAAGTACTATTTCTGTAAAGTTTGGACATATTTGAGACAGTTTGGACTTTCAGCTCAGTGCAAATAGGAACAAAATGTTTAAGTAAGGGTTTTTTTTTGGGTGCAAAGAAAGATGTACTACTGAGAATTAACATAAAGAGCTAAACTTGTAGCTGCTTGTCAGGGCGGCTTTAGCAAACTGCCAAAATCAGTCCTACTGCCCAGTTTTCTTGACAGTTTATGGAACAGCAAAGGGGCTGTTCAAAGATGACATGTGATATCTAAGATACTGTTTTAGTTCAGGAGCAAYGAGAAGTAGTTCAGGGCAAAGTGACTCGTAGCCAGTTAGTAGCCCCATGTTGARTGAAATACTACTTTTGCGAGGAAAAATCACCAAATATGTTGAAGGCGGTGTGTAAACAACACAAACTTAGAATGACAGCACAGGCCCTGTCCCCTTTTAATAAGTTCATCATAGATTTAACTTTTGCATAGTCTGTATGAGAGATTTAGATTGATGTGACACATAGATGCTCCTGGGGAGCTCCTGAACACACCACGGTCCTTTGTACTTCACAGTTTTCTGGAAATGCACAGCCAGGATAGTTTGTGCCATGTAACAAACAAAAATGGACTGTGGAAACTTCCCAGAATAGGCAATTAGACGTTGTTGAAGTACAGCAGAAAAAAAATACTTAAGAAATGTCAATGGAGAACCAGCCTGCCTAGGCCTTTGAGTGATTTCTATCTAACTCTACAGGCCGTGGCACTGCAGAGCCTTGTGTGGCACTGGGGACAACCAAGGCTTGTGCAGCTCGTGCCAGCAGAATAGTGAGAAGCATTTGAAGGCTCCAAGTGAGACTGAAAATGTCACTGAAGCAAACACTGGCTTTGACATTGTGTGTTCTACCTGTGAATAAGCAGGCTGTAGCGAACGAGGGTTTGCTAATTTTGACAAGAACACCAGTCACTCAACTTAGTGATAACTATGACATGGACTACATGCATACACCCACCTATACACAGGTGGTATATCTAGAAATACTGCCTGTGGGAGAAATACCTATGATACACAAGGGACTCGGTGGAAGGTCTGCTGAGCAGAGAAGTCTTGGGGCTTTCTATGGATGTTGAGCCTCTAATGTGTCATAGGCCAAAAGCGTCAACTGATTTATAGTATATATAGTAGTACAGAGGTAGTATAGAGTGTGTAGTAGTATATAGTCATCATTGTTTCTGAGTTATAAAGTCAATGAGTGCAACTTCCAAGACATCAAGCAGGCACTGCTTACAATCTAAAATAATATTTACTGTGTACAGCAAAATGTAGTAACAATATCGGATCTCAAATCTGCATTTATGCAGATTTTTGCATTTAAGCCTACAACTACTCTCAATTCATTAAGTCTGCTCATCCTTAGTAGAATTCTCTCCAGCAATCCTGATCTTCCTACTTGTTATGTGACATACATGAATTTCAAGAGACTCTAAGAAGTCATTAAAATATTTTTATCTAAGAAGTCACTAAAAGATTTAATCCTGTGGGAGTTCTTCTGTTTCTGATAAGAACAATCCRTTTCTTTTTCTATCTCCCAGCCAGTTGTTCTAACTTCCGTAGCATGTATAAGAAATACTCACTGAAGAACAATTAACAAATCTCTTATAATAGTTATGCAAATCTCAGGAAGGTGGAAATTGCCATGAACTAATTAGCAGCCTCCTCCCCACTTCTTTTTTAAATTTTGTCACTAGTTACCTTAAAAAAAGTTTTAATTAATTCACAAATAGTTAAATTATTGTCAGCTTCTCAGTACAGATTAATTATCTTCACATTAGCTCCCTTCCTGCTTCCTTTATTAAAACAAATAAAATGTATCAAAAATTGAATTTTGACCTAAGCAGTTTAAATTCCTATTGAAGTTGATTAAAGCTGATTTGATCCAATATGGTGCTCAATTATTCTTTCCAATAAAACTGTCTTAAAATACAGCAATTATCAAATCCTTTGCAAATGGAAAGAGAAGTTAATTTCAGTATTATCTGGATGGTATCTAAAGCCCACACAGGTAGTAAAGACATTCTTTAGTCTCCTGACTGAAAATCCTCAGTAACSCATTCAGCAAAGAAAAGCAGGGAACAAAAAGACAAAACATGAAAGAAACGTAATTCTGCTCTAAGTCTTTTTTCTGAGCGTATCAGATATTTGTTGTTCACAAATATTTCTTAACATCATTGTAAAATGCTTTCATCATTGAATTAGATTATGTCATTATTTAAAGGTTTCCATCGAGTATCCATTGCCTGGYGTTCCCATCTGCCTTTTGCCTTAGGGAGCAGCCACTGATTTCAATGGAAAGTTTAGTGCCTCTTTGATGGATTTTGGATGAAGTCTTTGTGGACTCTGATTGACTTCACAGGTCAAGCAAGAAAATCAGAAATCAGTCATTAACCTTCTGTGCCTGCACTGCTGTCTGCAATTAGGAAAACATTAATCACAACACATCAGTGTAATCAAGTATCAAAGTCCAGACTCAGTTTGGCTGACACTGTTGAAATGTAAATAATATACATCTGTTGATGTTCCCTAGATTCTTGTCTTATTAAGACCGTTGAACTCAAATACATAAACAGAGAGAGCACAACATACTAAAAAGCTGTGAAACAAATGAATCCAAAGCAGAAATAAGGAAAGAGCAGTTAGCTTGAAAGGTGGAAAAATAACACATTTATGAAAGAATGATGTGTAGGTGTAACAGCCACTGACTTGGAGGGGCTGCTTAA